CATCCTTTTTAGACTTTTTTAGTATTTTCTTTTTAGAAATCTATTCGGAGATATTTTATGACAACTCTAATTGAGAGAAAAAAAGGTGTCATGTTTTTAGAAGGGAGAAAACTATTTTCTCTTTTTTTCCAATAAAGCCATATATGCTTAGCACACTTACCCTCTTTGTCGTACCTCTCCTTCTATTTATAGAGGAGTGTCTTCCTTCTCCTCCAAGGACAAGAAAATGGTGATAATAAGTCCCAAAAAAGACTTTAGGTTATTACTTCCTAATCCTCCAAGGATTAGGAGGATTAGGATTAGGAGGATTAGGAGTTTTAATGCATATGAGCCTTTTGATCTTATCCTTATAAACTTGATCCTTATTTAATAAGGTTCATGTTTATCCTCCTATCAAAATATCTTATCGGCTTTTAAATTAAACCTATTGGCTCAAACTCTTTTGGCCTAATTAATTACCAATTAATTTTGACTATCCAAATAAATTGGGTTAGATATTTTTAGGAGGTCTACATTAGAAAATAATTTCTCAAATTATCCTTAAATCTAAATTAAGAAACTAATTTTCTTTTTAGGTAACGCACTTCTAAATTTGGAAATGACTTCCAAATTAAAAAAATGATTTCTAAAATAGAAAACCTTCCATTTTAGAAAAATTTTCCAAAATAGGAAACATTTTCTAAAATCTTTGCTTCTCTTTTATTATATGAATGCTTAAACTTATGCATGTGACTCAATAGGCTTCAGATATGCTAGCAATGTATCAAAAATAAAAGACACATCTATTCTCTCTTAATACATAAATCAAGATTGGCCTCTAGCAAGATATCATGACTACCTAATTTGCTAAAAGGATTAATTAATTCGTAATTACCTTTCACAAGCATGGTTACCATATAATTCGGTTCGCATGTTAATTTATTACGATATACAATTCAATCCACATGTTAATTTATCACGATACGATCTCAAATTTAGTTATTAGTCTATTCTATTATAATCACATAAGTTTTCTTCGATTCTCAAATATCTTAGCTCTTAGAGTAAACCAATTATACTCTATTGGTGTACTCTTATTGTGGCTATAGATTTCTTGAGCATATATTTATCGAAATGCAATATGATAACTCTTTTAGCATACAAGGAATGACATATCCTATCTTAGTCATCCACCTATCTCTATTAGATTTCTAGTGTACCCAAAAGATCATCTATATGCAACCCTTTACTAGATCCATCGAAACAAGTGTCAAAGTATATAAATCCTCTAATGACATAACCGTGATGAATTCAAATCAAAGGATCGGTTATACCTATCTCATATGAGATTTTCATAGACTAAACCAAATGGGTTCTCATGGCAAGTCAAATCCAATGATGTGTTCTCTAATATTAATCACCTAAGTGCTTGTTTTGGCATCACCATGTCAATACATGTGAGATTTTCTACTACTATCTTATAGAATGAGCATAGCACTCACAAGTCTTACCGCATATGATCAATGTCCATTCTTGATAATTCTTTGACTTGAGACATTTAATAATATCATTTAAGTGCATTAATGTTTGTCTCACATCTTTCGATCAATCATTAATGCAATGCATATCAATAGACTTCTATCTAATTTTATTCAAAAAATATAAATAATAAGAATTAATAGAAAGAGTTCTTTTGTTAATAAAATAAATAATGTAATATTATAATAAGTCAAACCTACCAAACAAAGTTGGATCTAGGGCACTTACACTAACAAATCCTACAACAAAAACTAGACACTCATCCAAACTCCCCCAAACTGTTCCTTTGCCCATAAATCCTTTAGACCATCCCTATACTGCAATCAAGCCACCCCAAATAACTTGTCAAGCCTCTAAACTCCTACAACCAGTTTCTTCACCCATAAATCTCTCGGACCACTCTTGTAATGTCTAAACAAACAACCCTACAAGCTCTCCTACACCCTTACATCATTGTAATCTAAAATTTCTTACCATAAAGCAAAATAAACCAGACTTACATGACCCCAAAAACACCTTACAACAATATAAGTCAACCCCTACTCAACCTCTTACAAAATCCTGCACCATCCTACACAATCCTCCGTAATAAAACCTCCTCTACAACTCTCGTAACCCCCAAACATCCTACAACGCAAGGCGAGTCAACCCCGTACAAACCTCGAGCCACTCGCATAATACTATAACTATCTTCTTATCTCTAGGAATCTCCTACAAGTCACCACTACCGCCTACGAGGTCAATTCTCCCCAAAAACGTATCCACGAGTTAAGCACACCTCAAAGTCCATTAACACAAGTAACGAGGATGAAAGGGACCAATTTGCCAGTATAAATAGAGGGAGGAACAAAAACATTGAAGAGGAGACGGGTAGAAGAGGTTTTTGAATTTGAAAAGGAAGCGAAACAACAAGAAAGTTTTTTTGAATTGAAAAACTGAATAAAAACAATTGCAAAGGGGTGGAATTTAAGGGAAAAAAACATAAATAAGAGATTTTGAAGGTTTTTGGAATTAAAAAACATGAATTTTTTTTTCAAGTGAAATTGGAAAATAAAATAGACGCAATTACTAGAATTTGAAAGACATACCTAAAACAAGAGAAGAATTTAAAAAAGAACCTTACCAAATTATTCAAAAAAGGATGAATTGAACTAGCAGACCTTAAGACGCTTAGAAAAGTCTTAATCCACCCATTGAAGCAGTAACAATCTATTGCCTTTCTCTATCCTCAACCCAAATTCAATCAGCAAAGTATTCAAGTAAGCTTCTCCTTTTAATTTGCACCCTCATTCGTACTAATGTAGCCTCTAGTCATCTCCTAAAGATTGATGACAATGATGTTCATCACTTGTTATCCTAGAAGGATGCTAGCCCACCTCAAGCACCTACAAACCCTCACTCTTTGTTTGATAGAAAAACTTAAAAATCAAAATCAACCCTAGATAATTTTGGGTTTGATCTTTCAAATTGAGGGTTTAGGATTTCTAGGTTTTAGGTAGTTTAGTTTTCAAAATTTAAGGGGTTTTTCGTTAAAGAGAAAAGGATGTTTTAGGATTAAAAGGATGATCAATTATAGGTGTTTAAAGAATATCATGATTTGGAACCGAGATGAACTAGAACAAAATCTAGGTTTTTTTCTAGGTTTCCAAGATAGCGATAATTTGGGGGTATTCGAGAAAAAAGGTTCTAATTGATTTGAGATCACGTAGTCTTAAAAGAGATTAAGCTAATTGAGTCGGAAAAAGGGAGGATCGAGGAAGACTAAAGGAGTTAGGTTTTTGGTTTTGACAAAAGCAATTAAAAAAGAGATTAGAAGGGGGAGAGAGAGGAGAGTTCCAAAGAGGAAAGATCGAAGGAAGAATGAGACGAGAGATGATGATTTACGGTTTTATTTCTAGAGAGAAAAAAGAGTGAAGAACGAGAGTGAGAGAGAGAAAGAGGGAATTTTGATCCGAATTGAATGGGGATAAATTTTTTATTTTGTTTCTAGAGGTAGTTAGGCTAAGGATAAAAGGAAGAGTAGGTTGGCCTAACCCATATGAGGCTCGGGGCTAAGTTGTTCTCAACCTAGCTTAGCTCGAAAAAGAGAAAGACTTAGGCTCGGTTGATCCCAACCCATTCTAGCCCAAAAAAAGAAGAAGAGAGAAGAAAAGGAGATGCTAGGCTTAGTCTAGTGGGCACGGCCTTATGGGCCAAAGGCCCACTAACCTCAAAAGGCCCAAAGTCCTAATTTTAAGTCCTTTTTTGTTAAATTAACCTTGAATTCCTTTTAGGTGTGTTTTTTTTTTTGTTTATTATTATATTTTAGGTTTAATTTAGATTTAATGTTCTGAATTTCCTTGAATTTATTTAATTAATGTTAACTTTGAAATTTATCTCAATTATTATGTTAAATAATTAATAGGTGAGTGAATTATCGAGTCTCTTACTTTTTAGGAACTGGTGATAGTTTCCCATTGAAAGAAATATAAAAAAAATTATAATAACAAAAATGAATAAAAAGAGAGAGAAAGGAATATTAGGAAAATAAAAAGAAATGCTAGGAAAAAAGAAAAAAAAAGAAAAAAAGAGAGAAGAAGAAAAAGGGAGAGAAAATGTTTAGGTTAAAAAAATAAAAAAAATAGAAAAAAGGAAAAAAATGCTAAGAAAAATAAGCAAAGTCTCCTATATAATAGGAATTGTTATTAGCTAAAAATTACTTTAGTAATTAAGTAATTCTCCGACATACTAGTTATATTGAGACTTAAAGTAGATCCGATATTTGAACCGACGTGTTTTCCGATGAAAAAGTCCGACAATTAGTTCAATACGATGCCATAAATAAAAATTAAAAAAATTAATTTGGCCTAGGAAATAAAATAACTTGGAGTTTAAATTGGAAATAATTTGACAAAAATAAAATACATTATGAGATAAATTTTAAGACTAAGCTACACGTGACATATTTCTTAGGAAATGATGCTTTTGGATAATCGATATCTTTTCAAAAGCTTAACCAACTTTTTACCTTAAAATCTACTGGATTAGTACTATTTTTAAATTTCTAGTTCCTATAATACAAGATGATGGCTTCCAAAATCAATAATAACTCACATGTTCAAAAATTATAAACAATTCAAAATAAAAAAATTAATTTTAATAATTTTGGAAAGTCCTATACGATGTCGAGTAACGGCAAACTTTATTTTTTATCGTATTACAATCAATTTTTTTGCTTGAAAAACTAACCAAGCTTTGTTAAAAGAAAAGAAATCAAATGGGTAGAAGCCAAACAGAACAACAATTAGTAACAATACAAATTAAGAATAATATTCCAGGAAACAAATATATGGATTACAAACCAGAGTTTTGATTATTGAAGTCACACGAGATGTATAAATGACAATAACAAGGTCAGTTCTAATAAATAATAGCTGATGAAAACATGCACCCCATCTGAAACAATCGTTGCTTATGGCCATCTCGAATTTAGAGTAATCGGTTCAAGGATAACCTCTGTATTTGGTGTAATTGTGTTTTTTGTTGTTACGTCTAGCACAGCAACCAATGGAATAGAAAATAATTATGAAGGCAATGAAACAAACGTTGGCTATGGCCAATTGTCCCCATCCCTTCCTAAAAGTGATAACATATGCAGCTTTACAAGACTCGCAGTTGAAGCAAAGTGTTTCCTGCTGGTTGCTCCAAGCTGCGCAGTCGCCACCGTCTTTCACAGCAGGGTTTGTTTTAGGGCGATCCCAAAACGTTGCATTTTTGGATACAAATCCGCATGAAATTGGTGGCTGGCAACATCCAGACTGTAGGGAAGCGAAAGAAAGAAAAAAAAAAGAAAAGAAAAAAAGGGCAATATTTGTGAGACAAAATTACCGCAAATTAGTGCATAATTTAATGCCTTGAAAGAGCCATGCTCTAAACTTTGTAACCATTGCTATTAAAATCCAGATTGCAATGAATGACAGCAATGTAAACAGTTTAAAATCTTAGGCAAATTAATGGTATTTTAACCTCATTATGATGAAAAAACTTCTCCCGGTGTATATTGCAGCCATGCATTGCTCAAAATCATATTATCCCTCAATTCAAATTCTACAACCAAGATATTCCTTACCCAAACAAATTATTTCTCAGGCTGGCGAACATCAAACCCTAATATTTGCACGTATTAATTGACACGGGAAAATAAGAAAAATTTGGAAAGTTGTTGTAAGATAAAATTAACATGCATGCAATATATACCAGTCAATGAAAGAACAAGAGGAAGATGATGAAAATTAATAAAAATTTTCAAATGGCTCAGAAAACCTAGAAAACAGAAAGATTAATGAATAATAAACCTGTATATCAGACAGCTTCTTGAGATTATTGAGCTGGCACAAGTTTGTTTGAACGGCACAACTTTTGATACCATTCCAATTCTTTTCGTTTGCAAGATTGTCCCTCAACCAATTATGGAAATCCATGATCTTGGTTTTCGAGAATGCCTTGCCAACACCCTCATTTGTGACCAAAATGGCAAAAACCGTGAAACCAATGAGACACATGAGCAACAAATACATGAGAATCAAGTAAAGCAACAAAGCAAAGTTGACCCTGAAACATGAGCCAATTAACCCAAGCAATGATATTGCTGTTATGGCTACACCCACTATAATCATCGGGTTTTGCAACACTTTATCACAACCTGTGGCACCGCCTCCCGCAAAGATATACAGGCCAAAACCCATGACGACCAGACCTATTAGTAAAGTAATGCAGTTGAAGATGGCCAAGATGGTGTTGCTTAATCGAACCATTTTGTGGGATAATTGCTTCTTTTTAAAACAAAGAGCAAAATATCGTGGCGTGATTTCTGTATATACAGAGAGAAGAGAAAACCCTAAACTGGAATGTTCTTAATGTTTGTTTTGGCTGGTTGGAGAGGGAGAAAGAGACGGAAAAAGACAACCAAAAAATGGTTAATTTGGTTATTATGTATTGATTACATTTTAAGTTTTATCTTTTTTTATAAAAAATAAAAAAATTAACTGCTAGTTTTGGTTGTTTAAAGCTGTGTTTATGAATTATAAGTTGGCTAGTTAGGTGGTCCTATATGCATACAATCAGGAAACATCTTTTGAAGTATATTTTTAGGTTTTGAAGAAAATATACCAAATCACTCCCTAAAAATATTTTAGAAGTACAAAACTAAATTACAGTAGTTTTACTTAAAAAATATATATATATCAAAGCTAAAAAAACAAAATATCAGCTTTTCTTTAAAAACTCAAATAGAAATTAAAATGTCTAAAAATAAATTCTTCATACTAAATTTTTATACAAACTGATGTTTTCATCAATAAAAAAGTATGAGTTTTATAAATTTAGATGATTGGGTATAAAAAGTTTATCCATATAGCATTATTCATGAAGATATTAGCAACCGGTATATAGTTAAATATTTGGCAATTTTATTTTTTTTATTCATTCAAGTAATTACATACATTTTAATTAGGATAGTATGACTAATTGATCCCATTGAAAAATATTTTTGACTGCGTACGGCACATGGTTTCGACTTTGTAAAGAAGAGGAGGATATATATTGCCTATCTGGTGCCCAATCCATTCGTCTACTGGTGGTATTTTGTTGTACGTAGTAGATACCACCTTTTTTTATTTTATCCTTCTGATTTTCCTTTTTTTAATTAATTATTTTATTTGCAATTAATTCTTCCCGAAGATGCATGCATGTATATCAGTATATAATTAAATTTAATTTGTAAAGCAAGGGAGTTGTATGGATCGCAATCCAAGATTGGAATGAATATATGAATTAGAATATTATAATATTTAGTTAGAGAGAGAGAGAGAGAGGGGGTACGATGTGAAATTTTGAAAGTAAATATTCTTTAGTTTGTGGAAAACAAATTGTTCTTGAATTTTGTTTTTGAAAATTTATAAATTATTTTGATATTTTGTTCTACGGTAGATTAAAAAAAAAAAAAAAAATCTTTCCAAATCGCTAATTGGATTGTATCAATTTGATAAATCAGTACATATAAAAAAGATTTCATCAAATTTTACTGTGTTTGTAAAATTTCATTAATTCGACCTAATAGGACTAAATTTCACTAAATTGTAAGTTGGTTACCAATTGTATGAGATGTTTAAGAAATAAAAGAAAATAATTTTGTTAAAATAAAATCTAATTCAAAAAATATTTAAGATAAAAATTTAAATATTTATTTCTTTTTTCTTTTTTTGGGTAAATTACCAAAAATACCTCGATGTATCATAAACTTACAATGATCATTCGAAAGTTTGAAGATATATATTACAAAACTCTCTCTCAAGTTTAAATGAATATTATAAAAACCCCTTTTGTACCCAAAATACTCCTAATTTTTTAAAATCATTTCCCATAAAATTAAAGACATTTTGGGTATAAAAGGAGGTTTTTGTAATATTTTCAAACTTTAAATGGTCATTGTAATTTCATGTTACCTCAAGAGAGTTATTGTTATTTACTCTTTTCTTTTTTTCTTAAAATTTTTCAAAACATTAATTACTAAATTTTTTTTATCTTTTATTTGAAAAAAAAATTTGAAAAGAATATTTTTTTTATTTCTTACACATTTTTTAAAAGTTTAATGGCTAAGAATTCTATAAATTTTTTATTTGATAATTTTGATTTTTTTATTCCTAAATGTTTTTTCAAATTTTTTTTTTTTAATTTCTTAAAAAATTTTAAGAATTTCAATGACTTAGCATGGTTGGAAATTTAGTTCATAAAAAAATTGAAAATTTTATTTTTCAAAAAGATAAGAATGATTTTTTTAATTCTTTCTATGTTTCAGCTTTCAAGCCTTTCATGTCTGAATATGTAACCTTTCTCCATTAAGTTTTAATCTTGAGAAAAAAAAAAAAAAACATCTACCGATACCATCTATCGATACAATATCCATAACTATATATAAAAGTACATTAAAAAAAAATTTAATTGAGTATTATATCCTTAATACAACACTAAAATTATAATATAATAACAATATTAATAAATATGAACAAGTTGTTGATTTGGTGATAAACGAACTAGTTTTCGGACAAATTTTCTATCAAAATACAAGAATTGAAATCTTGAGTCGTATTTATTAGAAGAAGATAAACTTCATTCCTCCCATTTCAAATAGAATTAGTCATATCTCTAATATAGGATGGAAATACTTAAAGAAAAAATATATTAATAAATAAATCCAACCCCTTCTTCAATAAATACTAAAATATAGGTTAACCCTTATTTTATTATTATTTTCTTGTATCTATATCAAATAAAACCTTAAATAATATAAAATAAGCAACTTAAATCACTCCTAAATTGCTTAGTGCTTTATTAATTAGTACTTTATTTGGCTGTTAAATATCTGAAAGGGCTTTAAAACAACCCAATAAGAAAAATAAAATCTGAAAATACTTAAATTACATAAAAATTCATCAAATTAATAATTAAATTGAATCCTTAGTTAATTTTTGTTATTTTCTTATGTTATTTCTTTTTTACTTTTTTACATACGTTAATAATATTAAAAAGGGAAATATTTATTAAAAAACTAATTAATAAAATTTTTATCCATGTATGTATTGTTAATTTATATTCATGTCACATTTTTGTATAAAAAAAAATATTAATATCACATAATAATATAATGTTAATTGAAACTTCTTCTCTTTTTTTTAGTAATTATTATTTTTAAAAGTTATATTTGTTTATCTTAACTATGAATTATTAAATTTTGATAGATAATTCAATGTATGTCCTTAATTTTTTCTTATTTCCGGTAAAAAAAAATTATTTTATAGGACTAATTTTTAATTTATATCCCTAGTTAAATTATTTATAATTATCATAATTTATATAAAATTATTTGATTATTAAACAAATACTATAGATTACTTAACTAAGACACCTGCCAAGAAACTCGTATAATAGAAATGGCAGATTTTGCTTTGGGTAAATCACATGTGATGGATTTCTGTTATGACTTAATTCTTATATGAAACGTGGCAAAATGGTAAATATAATTGATTTAGTTTACTAGGATTAGAATTATTATTAGTAATAATAAGCAATCAGCTAAATATGAAGTTAATTACATTTTCATGTCCCAGCTTGTCAATTTTACTAATTGAGTGTATGCTCTTTAATTTTTGTTATTTGAATATAACAAATTGTAACTTTTTTTCTATTTGAGTATTTCTATTAATTTTCATTTTGTCCGGCATGGGTGTTAATTGCACACGTGTTACCAACATATGAGCCCCATTGTCATTTTTTTTTTCATAAACATGTCATTTTTTTCCAATTGAGTTGTGTAAATTTTGATCTTTTTTATTTGAGTATACCAATCTGTAATATTTTTAATTTGAATGGTTTTATTAACTCTAGATCGACATGTCTATTAATTGCACATATAAAATCATCATGTGGATCTATTGTCAAGACACAAGGTAAGTGGAAAAAAAATTAAAAATTAATGAACCATTCTCATTCTTAGATAGCAACAAAAAAAATAATAATAACACAACATAACATAAGAATAATCGGATATTTATGTTCTTGTTTCATTTTCATTCTTAATAGAAAAAAAAAACTGAGAATGATGATTATTTATAAGATAATGATATGAAATTGAATTTTAAATTGGATTGAAAGATGCTCGAATCCGGGTTGCATAAGATGGATTGATAAGAAAAATTTCTTGTTTGATTTTATATATTTATTGGTTGATCCATTCTTCTTTTTGTAGTAGTTTTTTTTTATATATATATACAAACATTTGTCAAGTAATAAGTATTTTGGTATTAGTTTTTTTTTATATACAAATATTTGATAATAGAGTCTATATGACAGCGTCATACGTGTAGTTAACGAAAATATCAACTTATAGATAACAAAACCACGCAAATAGAAAAAAAATTATAAGTTTATGTAATTAATTAGCAAGTATCAAAGTTTACTCATTCAAAAAAAAAAAAAAAAAAAAAAATTGTATACCAAATAATTTTTTCTTTCTAGTTGCCGCATGTCTAAGTATGGAATCCATAGGCCGGTGCCAAATGTGCAGTAAATGACCATGTTAGCATAAAGTTAATGAGAGTTAATGAAAACACTCGAATAAAAAATATAAAATATAATTTTGTATACTCAAATAATGAAAATTAAATAACATACACAACTAAAAAAAAAAAATAACAAGTTAGGATACTAAAAATATAATTAACTCCTAAATATAAGTACCGAACAAAAAAATTTCTTCATCATCACGTTAAAGAGAGTGATTTTGATTGATGAAAAAAAAATTCGTATATACTAATATTGTATCATTATCTTTATTTATTAATATATATCCATATTTATACGGAGATACCAACTTCTTTCCAACATCTCTATTTTAATTTTTTCATAAAGGTAGGATAATATATATATATATATATATATATATTTACAAAAGAAGATTACCATTTCCTTTCTTTATCGTGTTGAATGTAGATAAAAATAGCCTTAAGTTTTTAAGTTACAACTTACAAAATTTTCAATAGTTGATATTTACCATATTTATTTCAATATTGGGAGTACTATTATTTCACGTTCTCAATTTTATATATACAAATATAAGTACTATAGTTTTTATTAAGAGCAAACTTTTATTTTATTTTTTATTATAATATGTAGATAATTAAGAATATTAATAATGAACATTTTATCCTGTTATATATTATTCATGATAAGAAATATATAAATATATAGATAAGGAGTCAGATTTTCTTTATATATATATATATATATATATATATATATATATATATATATATATGCAGAGATTTCTGGTCTAATTCAGAAGTGCAAATCAGATGGATCAATATTCTTCCTAGTGAAGCGCAACGCCTTGCTGCCGGAAATTATGGAGTGTGATCGATATATATATATATGTAATTAACAAGGGTCACACTCTACTGTATATGGAATTATCCATTTGAATGTTCTTCCTGGTGAAGCCACTAATGCAATAGATCATAGTCATGAGGACAATTTGGAGGCACATTAGTTTAGCAAAATTTCTCCATACCAGCCTAATGCTTGCCAAAACTCCAACCCTGCATGACTTGCAATTGTAGCAAAGCTTGTCCTGCTCATTGCTCCACGTAGTGCAATCGCTATCTGGCACTTCTGGCCCAGATTCGGGCATGACCCAGAATGTCGCATTCTTGCTTTCGAATCCACAATATATTGGAGGCTTGCAGCAGCCAGACTGCATGGAATCAAAATACGTATATAAAAGTTAAGAAATTAACACGACCCACTACATGTTTGCATTTTTTTGTTTTTTTAAGAAATAGTCCTGTATGTAACTTGCATATTTATTTATGCCTTTTGTTCTAGTTCAATCAAAATTCAAATCTCCTATAAAATGAGTATTTATTCCAGTTGTCTACAAATTGCAAAGAGAGGGAAATTTTCATGTTCAAAGCTTGCCCTTGGTAACTAATTGGAGGGGAAAAAGAGACTTTTTATCACTCAAATTTAATGAGCAACATAGCACAGCCTTTTGCCTTTTCAAATAGAAAATATATAGGCTCCGCCAATTCTAATGAGAAAGACAGCTAACTTGGTTCTGCTTTTAACATATTCAGTCACATGAATCTGATCATGTTTAAATCACAAAATCTCAATATATTAATGTAATTTATGTATTCAAATTCTTATCCTTCAAGAACTCCACATTTCATGGATTACCGCATATTGTTTGAATATATATGCTGCAAATTTTCATTTTTTCTCTAAAAAAAATAAAATAAAATTATAATCGCATTGCAAGTTTCTTTGCTTGGAGGAATCAAATTAAGAAGTTAGAAATTAAGGGACAAAAAGGCCGAACCTCTATAGGAGACAGTTTCTTCTTGTAAAAGTCCTTCGCCTTGAGATCGTGATAGGTATGAGGATTGCTACAAGCATGAGTATAAACCATACAGCTTTGAATATTATTCCAATTCCTCCCATTTGCAAACTGTTCCCGCAACCAATGCGAATAATCCCCAAACCTGTACTCCCTAAATCGTATCCTGGATAACTTCTCAGAAGCCCCATTATTGGTAACAAGTAGCAGGAAAAACGTGAAAGAAATGAGGCCAAGGATCCACAGGAATGCGAAAAAGGAATATATTCCCAGAAGAAATGTGACCTTGCATATTGTTCCAATTAACCCTATCAAGGATACAACAACGAAAAAAGTTCCCACTACCATCAATGGGGTTTTGAGGATTCTTTGGCAGTCGGAGACCCCATTTATGTGAAAATGGAGCAAGTAGATAATGGAAACAAGGCCAAAAATTAGGCTGAAAACGTTTAAAATTATGAACAGACAATTACATACACGAAACATTGTGTTAGGTCTTGTAGATTTTTCATTCAGATAATATTTGTTAGTGCCAAAAAGATGGCATCACATTTAGTCTGGTCATTCCTTAAAAATTGCTTCAGCTTTGCCACTGTATATATATATATATAGAATCAAAATCCTATAATTGGAATCTTTTCAAGTTAGACAAGGGGAGGCCAGGAGAGAAACTACTCTGGCTTTTAGCTATACATATATACAGCTACACTTTGTTATGTAACTGTTTTCTTGAGGCATTGAGGAGAAGACATTCAAAAAAAGGTTATAAGTAAAATAGTCTATTTAAAAAAAAAAAAAAATTAATATAACTCAAACACCTTGAAAGCAAACAAAGCAGCTGAGAAGAAAATAGGAGATTAAAAATAAGTTCAATTCCATAATTAAAATATGGTAAATTGGTTATAAAGTATACTAAATTATTAGTTAAAAATTAAGTTTCTAATTAACTTTTATTTTATTTTATTTAGATCTCTATTCTTTTTTTCTTTTTTCTTTTTAGTCCCTAGTTAAGTTTTTCCATCTAGTTGATTAGTTTAAAATGATATGAAAGACATATGGAGCCATCAAAACGATGGAATATGTCCTGAAAGCCTTAAACACAAGACATGTGTTGTGGTTTTATGTTTTCATATGTCTCTTATATGCTTTCAATGTAATTTAAAATTGGCCAATGAGACAAAAAAAAAAAACTTAATTATTGACAAAAAAAAATGTTAAAGACCTAAATAAAAAAGAAAAAGCTTAGAAACTTCTCATTTTGACCAATAGTTTAGGATATTTGATATCCAATTAGCCTTAAAAGATTTATAAGAGTTTTTTCTGCAAGAATTTAAAATTATGAATTTTGAATTTAAGTCATAATTCAAATATTATTTTTTATAATTAACTTATTACAAAACGAGTTAAGTCAAGAGCATAATTGGTATTAAAAAATAATAATAACTCAAAAGTACTATTGTTTTGAGAAAAGATAGTATAAGTTAGAAAGAGAGAGAGCAATTTATTTAGCAAAAAGTAAAGATATTTGTACTTAAATGTGAGAATTATTCCTAGTTATATATGAATTTGAATTGGACAAAAAAATTTATATTGTAAGATATAAGAAGGTAATTTAGAAAGTATATAAAAATTGATTTTTTTTTTTAAAGAAAAAATTGAAAATTTACTCATTAGTCAATAAAAAATGTCATACAATTTATTGGTCTTTTGCTTATCAAAAGTGAACTTTATTGGTACTTTTCTCAAGAAACAAACAAAAACAAGAAAAATAAAAGTAAGGAAAAAAATTAAAGCATCGATTGATATTATTTTCATTTTTTATTTTTATTTTTTAAAAATTGAAAAGAAACCAAAAAAAAAAAATTATTTATTTTCAAAAACTGGTTGTCAAATTTTTTCTAAGCCAAACAAAGTGATCTCAAGAAATTATGACTGGTTGTTTTTTTTTTTTTCAAAAAAAAAATCCAAGATAATTAACAAGTTTCAATTTCTCCTATTAAAAAAATTTAAAAAGGAAAACTGAAAATAATACTGAAAAACCCTAACTAAGCAAAACAATGATAGAGATAAACAAATAGTGGTTGAATATGGAGAGGAGAGAACTAGCTAGATCGATGAGGAGTGTCTGGGAGAGTTACTAATATAAAGTTAGAGGTTTATTTTAATTATATTAAGAGCAAAATTAATTGTCATTGTGATTTACACTTAAAAAAAAAAAAAAACTTTTAATAGCGTTACAAGCACTATACTAGAGAGTTTTCAAACTAATTTATCCTAGATAAAACTCATATTGGATCAAAACAATAACAATTAAAAGTTTAAACATTTTTTTCTAAATTAAAAATTATTTGGGTCTACGAATCAAGAATACACAATGATAAAATTCAAAACAAAACAAAAATAAAATTATTTAATTTACATCATCAATGTAAATCATTAATGCACTAGGTTCTTAGGAAGCCAAACTAATTAATTACTTGAGGGCATAATAAAATTCCAAACAATCTAATTGAACTAAATAAAACTAGATGGCATGAAAAATAAAAAAAGACCGATTGCTTAAGGGCCAAATTTGGAGTATTTGGAATGGGATCGATTAATACTGCTAATGGCACAACAACTAAGGGAGTATAAGATGATGAGGAAAATGGTGATAAAGATGAGGACAATGGCCAACATTCTCCATTCTTTCTTAATGTTGAAAAGAAATCCACCCTTGCATGAATTGCAGTCATAGCATAACTTGTTTTGCTCATTGCTCCATGTGGTGCAATCAGGGTCTTGCACTGCTACACCGGATTTGGGTACTATCCAAAATGTTGCGTTCTTATATTCGAATCCACACCTTGTTGGGGGCTTGCAGCAACCAGACTGAAACAATGCACAAGGCACAAACAAAATTATTAATTATTTGTAAATTCATTAATTCAAACAAATATTATGTTATGAATCAATGATGATATATATGATATTTTTACCAACAAAATCAAAAAGAACACAATGTATGAGTCTTGTTAATAAGACAAAACTAGATTTTTCAATCAAATTATTCATAATTTACAAGCGTATCAAAACTTGGGATTTTTCTTTTTCTTTTTTTTTAATAAGGAATGTAAACTGTATTTTCAAATATTCCAAAAAGAAGAAAAGCAATATAACAACTATATAAAATCTGGCACAACTTAGAAAGAAATATACTATGTATGCCTTTATAAAATTAACAAAATTCTAAATCTCAATATCAGCAAACACAATTAAAACTGTTAAACGTAAAATTAAAATTATTAATTATTAGTAAATAAAAATACCATCAATTAGTTAATCACACAAAAGAAGTACAAGTTAATTAAGATAATATACCTGTAATGGAGACAATTTGGTCTTGTAAAAATCCAGAACCTGTTGATTGACACGAGGATCGGTACTAACAAGAGTCTGGCAAACATGAGCATCCATCAAACAACTCCTGATCTCATCCCAATTATTCGCATTCACAAAGTGATTTTTCAACCAATTCGAGTAATCCCCAAGCCTGTACTCCTTGTACCCCATCCCTGACAAAGCCTTGCCTGCACCCTTGTTTGTGACAAGGAATGCAAAAATGGTGAAGCATAAGAGGCCCACAATCAACAAAAAGTTGAAGAAAGAGTAGATCTTGATCCAAATAGTTTTCTCACAGCACGATCCAATTAGCCCCAGCAATGACACAACAAACAAAGAAGCACCTAGTATGAATAAAGGGAGTTGTAGGGCTTTCTGGCACAAGGAGGAAGAGTGATGCAGCCGTAGATAAACAGAAGCACCGATGGAGACAAGCCCTAAGATCATGATCAACGAGTTTATTAATGAAAATACACCGTTGGTGAAGCGAGCCATTGTGTGGTTAATTTTTCTTCTTCTGGATGAAGTTGTAGTATGGTGTGCGTAATTGTGATTTAAAAGAAAACCCTCCAAGACGATACTGTAACACAAAAGAGGAGGATTCTATAAGCCAGTGCGTATTCGTTTATATATACGTGGATGGATAAAAGAAAAGGAACTTAATTATTGTATAGGATTCGGAATTTATTTATTTATTTTCAATGTCACAAAACGGTTACATTTAGATAAAACTTTTTAATTATGTGGAAGAAAGAGATATATGCTAGGTAGGAACTTTCCAAGCGTACAACGTGGTTAGAGTTTGAAACGAGTTTAAATTTCGAACTAATTTGAGTAGTTTGAGGATTACCTGGATCATTCAGACTCTAACACGTACGTACGTACTTACAAATATTGTATCAATTCAACAAAAGCCCAAGTAAAAATTTCATCATCTTCGATCCAACTAAACTAAAATGTAAATAAATTAATTCTAGTTAATTTATCCAATAATTAGAAAGAGAGTTTAATTGCCTTGAATGGAATATATAAGGATAAATTTAATAAAATAATTTTTTTATATAAGCTTATTTGCCAAATCAACACAACCACAGTAACTAAATTACAGGATTTTCCAGTAAGAAACTCAAACTCTACATGTATTTTTTTTTTTTTTTCGGGGATTTAAGTGAAGTGCTCGTCCATAGTTTTCTATTTTATTTTATTAAGAATTTGCCGTTATCTTCGATAAGTTTTGTACTTTTGAGCAGTTGGCACAAACTGGCTGACCAGGTGTCCATGTTATTGTTTGCCACATGTCAAAACCCTAAAAGCGCATAAAGAAAACTTGAGAATTAACTATTTTAGAATTAACTAGCTTTTTTCTTCATGCTACGTTGCGTCATAGATTGAATAAAATATATAAAATTATTTATAAAAATTATTTCAGTTTGATAATCTATTTTATGGTATGAATCTATAAAAATATATGAAATCAAAGTTAAAAAAAAATATATATATTTATAATTTTTAAATAAAAAATTTTGTATTTAACTATTTCTTATTTGTGTTTTTCATAATTTTTTCTTTAGAAAAAATAATTTATCGTTATTAATTCATGAATTATTTAATAAAAAGAAAATTAAATGAATTGTTTTAAAAATTTTTTGTATTTCATAAGATTGTGCTTGAAAAACAAAAATAACAATTATTAAACGCTTACGTAGAATTAAAAAAATAATTTTTTTATTTAATGTTGATGAGAATATCGATTTTTGAAAAAATATAAATTTAATTTTTATATATTTATTTACAAAATAATGAATAATATTAAAATAAAAAACTATATTAATTTGAATCATTGAGTAGTTAAGCCAAAACATAATTTTAATTACTTAATTTAAAATATAAATAAATAAATAGTAAATGCTTAATGTAGTAGTTACATAATTAATTTCTAAAAAAATAACGATTCAATATTTTATACTAAATGAGTTCAGCAGTTTTCTCTAAAACAAAAAATACTATAAAAAAATTAACTTTTAAGGAATCTATTGAGTAAATTTGAAGTTAATAAACTAAAATAAAAATTATTACAAATTTGATTTCGATTAATTTTGATTATATAAAGAAGAAACAAATTAATAAAACATATGAATTCTTTTTTTCCCTCCTTCTTAAATAATTTTTTATTTATATGCTATGCATAGCTAATCCTTGAATACAAGTCTCATACACAAATCAATCATCTTTTCTTTTTTCACCTTTGACTTTCAACTATTAATTAACTAATTTGAGTTTTTTTCCAAAAAAAAACTGAAAAAAATTATTTGAAATACACTTTTAATCTAAAAATTTATTTCAGAAAAATTATATATATTAATCATGCCATTATAATTTAAAAATTATCTACATCTATTTTTCAAAAGAAAAAATAATCATATTCTAAAAATTTATTCCAAAATCCATACACATAGAAAAATAAATCAAAACTGTCAAGTAAATATAATTTTAAATTAATTGGATGAGAATATAAAAAAAAATGCCAATTAAAGTAGTAAATTTTAAATGATAAAAATAATTAACAAAAAACACTAAAACAAAATGGGACCAAATCATAATACAATTAAAATTTAAAATTGGAAAAAATGTATAGAAAATTTGAGGAGCATATAATTTTAAATTAATTGGATGAGAATTTTTTAAAAATGACAAATTAAAGTAGTAAATTTTAAATAATAAAAATAATTAACAAAAAATACCAAAACAAAATGAGATCAAATAACAATATGATTAAAGTCTGAAATTAAAAAAAAAATTTTAAATGACAAATTAAAGTAGTAAATCTTAAAAAATAAAAATAATTAGCAAAAAATACTAAAACAAAATGGGACCAAATCACAATACAATTAAAGTTTGAAATTGAAAAAAAAATATATAGAAAATTTGAGGACCAAAGTGTTATAAAAATATCACGAATAGTGAAAGGAATAGTGATTTGTGAGTATGTGAATAGTAATTTATAAATAGTATTTTAAATAGTGAAAAAATTATAAACCAATGGTTTACTTTAGTTTTATGTATAATGTATAATGTATAATGTATAATAAGGTTTTCCTTTGTAATGGTTCGTTAATGAAAGTTTTCTATATTTGACATGTTGTGTTTTATTTAATTAGGATCATGCAATATATGTGTGTTAATTTAAATAAATTTGTAATATAATTATACTATTTTAAGGTCAATTAAAATTTTCTATTTGGAATAGGAATAAAAAAACATAAAGGAAAAAAAGTAATAGATGGAAATAACTTTTTTCAATTTTATTTTATAGATAGTGTTGTAGATACCAACTTGAGTTAGGATACTAAATTTTGAAAATGACTAAGAAGACGATCTTAGTGAAGATATTAGCAATTTGAGAAAAAGAAGGCACATAAAGCAAACGAAGAGTGCCATAGGTAACACGATAAACAAAATGATAATCGATCTCAATGTATTTGATACACTCATGAAAAAAATTATTATGAGCAATTTGAATAACACTTTGATTGTCATGATGAGTGCGTAGTTAGTATAATTTTTATGCTCTTTTACATTGAACTTTATAATGTTATTGTATTATATTAGTAAATTAAGATTAAGACAACAATTTCAAGTTTTATAGGAAAAATGATAAATTAAAGTAAAGAAACCCAAACCAAAGCAAGGAGAAGCACAAGCTACCAAGGAAGCTTATGAGTCACATGACCGTGCGAATTATAAAAGGAAGAAACCCCCGGCCATGTGAAGCAAAGGAAGAAACCATATGGATTGTTCAGCAACAAAGTCACACAAGCGAGTAGCCCTCCACACGACCAAGGCAAGAAAAGCCACATGTCCGTGCTTGTTTCAAGGTCGAAATGTCTCCCAAAAAGAGAGAACCAACGCATGGGAAGTAGCCATTCCACAAGGATTGCACTAAAGATGAGACACGCCCACATGAGGCGAAACAAGAAGTACTCCAAGAATGAGGCGCGGACCAAAATGATGCAACTTGGGATGATGGCATAATTTCACACGACCGTATGGCTTTACTAAGCAAGCTGCGTGACTATGTGGGACCGATATATATGTGTTGTAACCTTACTTTTAATTATAGATAGTGATGTTAAGGGTTTTATTTTGATATTTCCACTTTTAGCAGCCTATTATAAATAGAAAATTCTCCATTGTAATTGGCTACAAATAACTAAACACCTATCTTGGTTGAAGAAAGTTGAAGTTTTTGGTTAAATCATTGTGAGATATTAATGTGTTTTAATTCTAAACTTATTCTTTTTTAGTATTATATATATATATATATATATATTGCATAATTTAGTTATAGTTGTGTGATTAATGAATTAGAGTGCATGCTAATTGATTGATCATCATAATTTATTGCTAGCTAAGTATTCAAGTTTGTTTAATTACTTTTCTAAATTTGCCAATGGTAGTAACCGAGGGTTAATGATTATAAATGCATTTTTGTTTAATCCTTTAAAAAATATAGAACTAGATTACATCTTTCTAGTGTTTAGGAGGTTGGTTTAGCTTCACTTGTCTTTCTCTACGCTAATACCGTTATTGGATTAAATATATCTAGCGTCTAGTAAGTTGTTCAATAGCTAAGAAATTAATCAATTAGCATCTATTTGGTTAACGAATCACCGAGGAAAGATTGGGAACAATATACAAGTTGTTGTCCTATGATGAATATTCATGTTAAGGATAGGTAAATAATTTAATCAATGATCAACAATAAAACCAAAAATGGATACGAAGCTTCAACTAAGGCCTTTTCCTATTATTGTTATTTCAAGTTATTTTTTCTTACTTACAAATTACCATAAACACAAACCCCCAATTTTACTCTTTTTCACTTTAGAATAATCGGACAATAAAAAGTATTAATTAGGCTCCTTCCTTGTGGGTTCGACTCGTACTTACCCTATCTAAACCCTTGTGGTTGGGTTCCATGAGGAAATAAATAAATAACTAATTTTTTATCGATATAACAAGTCATCAAAATTTGACATCATTTTTGAAGAGGATTGCGCTTAAGCTCGATTGTTTCTTGGTGTTTTGACTATTCTTGTTGTTTCTATCGAGTTGGGATATAATCATGTCACAACTAGGTGAACCGATTTTCAACCCTAAACTAGAAAGAGAATTAAGCAAGTTGAGGAGAGAAGCTAGACTAGCTTCTATAAAGGAGATGGCCTACCTAGTGGGCCTAACCCAATGGGCCGATGGCCGATTAAAAAATACTCAAATGTTTTAATTTCATTTTTTTCTAAACAAATTGACCCCGAATTTTTTTTTTTATGAATGTTTATTTTTCAGTTTAATTTAGATGCAATGTTCGGATCTCTCAAAATTTATTTAGTTAATTTCAGTTTTAGAATTTTGTTTCAATAATTAGTTTAGGTAATTAATAGGTGGATGAATTGTCAAGTCTCTTAATTTTTAGGGATTGATGATGATTCCTCATT